GGACCTCCAGGACAATCAGAGTTGTTACACAGAGAAATCCTATCTTGAAAGACAAACAAAACTGACTCTGCACCCAGGTGTGCAGATGTACATCTTGTAAGGTCAGGAGGGTCAGGAGTCTGAGGTTGTCCTCTGCTACACACCTCCTGGTTCCTGAGACATTAGGCTGTCAGAATGTTTAGGCAGGCTGCACTTGCTGCCACAACCTAAGCATCTGAGTTTGAGCCTGGGCCCGACACATTGAAGGAACTGACTCCCAAAAGTTGTCCTCAGACCTTTATAAGCACACCACAGAAAGTGCATTCTTCAAAAAAAAAAAAAAAAAGAATGTGGTAAAACAAAATAAACAAACCTAAAACCAAACTAAAATAAAACAAAAATTCTACATTGACTTAATAATGGAAATATTAACAATATTCAACAAAGACTGTGTAGGTCTGATGTACTCTGTGTGTGCGTGTGTGTGATGGGGGTGGGGTATGTGTTCACTCATGTGGGAGTGTATCGAGAGCAACTATTGACATCATGTTTATCTTCCTCAATCACTTCACCTTTTATTTTTTTGAGACTTTTTTTCCCCTTAAACTGGAACTGGAGCTTGTTGTTTTTGACTAACGTGGTCTTTGAGAGATCCACCTGTTTTTGTACGCCCCCAGTGCCAGGGTTACAAAAATGTACCACTGTACCAAGGTTTTACTTGGGTTCTGCAAATCTGAACTCAGGTCTTCAAGCACTTTACCCATACATGTTTTTAAAAGCTTAGTATTAGTGTACTGAGGCTATGTTGCTTCTAAAAGGGACAAACTTATAACCCCAGAATTTGGGAGGATCTGGAGTTCCAGGCTAGGCTTGTCTATATAGGGAATTTAAAGCCAGCCTGGGAGGAGACAGACACACACACACACACACACACACACACACACACACACACACACACACGATCCTGTCCACACCCATGCAAAATAAATACTAACAATTACTCAAAGAAAAATAAAACCTATAGTTCTATCAATTCTTTGGTATCTTGTTACTTTGTGTTTGTTTGTTTGTTTGTTGAGACAGACTTACCCTAAGTAACGCAGGCTGGCCTCAACTACAGCCATCCTTGCAGGCAGACATGGTCTCTTTAAAGATTTTTAACTCAAATTCTTGAGCAAAATGCTGAATTATTCACTGGGTATAGTTGTACATACCTACTCTAATCCCAGCACCCTAAAGGAGGCAGAAGGAACCCTTGGAGTATAAAGACAGTCCCAAACATACACTAAGAGATATAATACCAATCAAATATCCCCATATGAAAACAGACAAATTAATTTGATTTTGTTTTTGAGGCAGGGTCTCATGTAGCTCAGGCTGGCTTCAAATTCACTATGTAGTAGAGGATGACCCTGAACAAGTGATCTTTCCCAACTTCTAAGATGCTGGTATTATAGGTATACCACTGGTTTCTGAAACTGAGATGATAAAGGTTAATGCTGATCTTTGTGAAAGATTAATTACTGTAAACAAGTAAAACCTCAGGTTTAAAACTCTAAACACATAAGAAAAATAATACTTGATTGCTATACTTGTTATTTCTCTGGGTCAACTCCTTATGTTACTAATACTATTAATTCATTGACATGTTTTTGTTTTTTTTAAGAAAATGGACTCTGTCATAGCCACTTACAGAGCCTGCCACACTGTTGAAAAGGTTTTTATTTGGGCTGGAGAGATGGCTCAGTGATTAAGAGTACTGTCTGCTCTTCCAAAGGACCCAGGTTCAATTCCCAGCACCCACATGGCAGCTCACAACTGTCTGTAACCCCAGTTCCAAGGGATCTGATGCACACACTAATGCACATAAAATTAAATAAATTATAAAAAAAGGTTTTTATTCTGAATCTATCATTTATTGACATATTGAAAACTTCAAATTCTTAACTATTTTCCCAAGAGAAGTCTTAAAAATAGGCAGGTGGACTAATTTCAAACTAATGAAAGGTTTTGACCTTGACTTCATATATGAGAGGAACTGTGCCTCCTGCCCTTGCCTTCTATCCTAACCCTGGAACTCACAGGGCAAAAAAAAAAAAATATATATACTACTGATGAGAGTCTGTAAATATGTAATAATACAAAAACCAAAATCCTAATAATTTAAAAGGGGCTGAGAAACACCCTTTTACCCAGAATTCTGGATTGTGGATCAGCAGCATCATATTTATTTATGCTCTCAGTAATATATGAGGCAAAAAAAAAAAAAAAATCTACATTGGTGAATCTGAGAAACATTTTAATAATTAAATAACAAAGAATGTCATGAACATACATATTCCCAGTCTCTTATATATATATATAATTTTTTTTAAATTAAACTGATTTAAAATTTGTGAAACACAAACCTTTATGGCAGAACTAGAAGTCTGTTCCCACCAGGCCCTCATACCTGATAGCAGCCAATCCAGCTCCTTCAAAACTCTGAAGAATTAACTATATCAAAAGTCATCATTTTTATGCATTTCACATGTAAACAGCACATGCTACAGATTTTTGTTTTTAAAAACATCAAATATTTAAATTAATGTGCATTTCCCTAGCTATCAAGCTTTTTGGTCAGAAGGACACTGAGTAACTTGGTAAAATACTCCCAGTTTTTCTCTTTGATAGTTGTATCACCAAGGTTATCAATCTGATAAACAAAAATGTGATTCCAGTGATACACACAGATGTCCCTACAATTATTACTCTGTAATTTAAACTCTTATGTATATCAGTATATAGTAAAGGAGTCTTTTCTATTAAAAAGACATTGGAAAATAGAATAGACTATATTGGTTACTAAAAAAGTAGATTATGTATATTAAGATTATTAATTAGTAGGATTTAGATCACAGAAACTTTCTGTGAGAAGAAAACTTTCAAAGTTACCTTTTTATTCTCTTCACCATTTTTATGTCAATGATTTCAAGATAATAAGAATTTACTGGAATGGAGATGTGTTAGTGGTAGAGCATCTGCTTATTATGAATGAGGCCTTGAGTTCAATCCTCAGGGCCACAAATATAAATGCATTTATATGCATATATATAAAATATATATATATATATATATAAATGATATAAATCATTAGAATATTTCCTTTGGTCAAATTTTTTTATTTTCTTTTAACTCACAGCTTTTAATCTAATTTACCTTCTCAACCATACAGGAAGGGTTAAACTTTTCATTTGTGACCCCAAATCAAGGACTTTAAATATTTATACATAATAATTTCTGAAACATGTGGTATTACTTAAAGGGAAGTGTTGTTCTTTTTCTAAACGTAGCTACCCTTTTTTTTTCAGCTTTTAAAAGGAACTGGATCTACTGTAAACAGATGTTAAAAAGCACAGAAGAAACAGACTTGTAGTTCTATACAGATTCAACATGTCCTTATAAAAACAATCTCAAGACACAAAAGAAATCAGTTAGTCAATTTCTACGTGTGGATTTAAAGTGAGACAATACTTTAAAAAATATTTTCTATTTTATTATATGATTCAGTCTTTAAAAACTAGATTTTAAAGCTTCAAGTTCCTGAAAAATATTCAGAGCTACTTTAAAATCTGGGAGATATGAGGTTAACCAGGTCACCTTATCAATTTGATTACTAAAAAGCTCACTAATTCACAATTAAATCCACAGAAACTGTTAGAAAATGTCTGGCCACACATGAACAGTGAGGAGGGCCAATATTTCTTTGTCATGTTTAAAGATTTTTCCTGCCCTCAAGCAAGAAGGCTTCTGCACTGTTTGGCTTGAGAAAGGTTGGTACCCAAGGTTAATAGCATGTATGTTAATACATGTAAGAAATTAAACACCTGCAGACAGAACACAGTACCAATACTGTCATTTAGACCAAAGCCTTCCCTTTTGATTTTTCTTTGTGAAATTAAAAGAACTTACTGAAAAAAAATGTTTTGATGGACTTTAAATGCCATTTTAAAAGATACCAAGTATCAGGAGGCAAGAAACCTCTATAGGACAGACAAAATTTCAGAAAAGCAGACATAATGTATTCATTTTTCTAAAGCAAATATATTAGCAACCTATAATCCCAACTTTGAAAAATAGGTACTATAGTTGGGCAAGTTATTATTATGGAAAGCATTCATACCGAATTATTACTAATCAAGACTTTTCTATTTATCTGTCAATTTTTATCCTAATTCAAAGTGAAAGTTTGAACCAATTTAATTTTATTTACAGAGGTATGATTTGAGAGCTGAGTAAAAATAATCTTAATAAATTTCAATTGTTTGTTTGATTTTGTTTTTTTGAGACAGTTTCTCTTTGTAGCCTTGGCTGTCCTGGACTCACTTTGTAGACCAGGCTGGCCTCGAACTCACAGAGTGCTAGGATACTCAAATATTATTTTTAATATTTTTCATTGGTACAAGAGAATGTATTTTTTAAACCATTATATCCAATTTTGCTACTATTTTTCATGAATTTAAAATAAGTACATATGCCATATGTACCTATAAACATAATATATATGTTTTTTGAGATAGGTCTCACTAGCTCTGGCTGAGCCTCATGTATTTAAGCATAGAAAAAAGGTTATAGTTACACGCTATAAACAGAAAGGAGACTTGAGAACTTGAGTGCTTTTTTTAGATCATATAACATTTTTCCCTTTGGGCAAATTTTTAAAAATATTTGTTAAATAAAAAGTCAAACACAATTTTCTAGCCATAGCTTGGTATTTAACTTTTTTTTATGTACACTCAACAAAGCTGTTGTAGGCTGGGTCTCACATCCGAAGACAAGGACCATTTTAGGAGACAGCATTTACAAATGTACCAAATGTACAGTATATCCTGAACACCTCTCAGTGTAAAGGGTAAAGTCTTTAAACCCTTCTAGAACAAACTCTCAAATCATACTCTTTTTGATATGAACTTTGCCAATACTGTTCATGTTGGCCAGATAATGCCCTAGTTTTTGTTAATGAAATAAAATGAAATGCATACCAGCAGCAACTACAGCTGGAGGAGGCGACCCTGCCTCACCACCGCTTGTCTGACTCATTGATGCTACAGATGTTTCTCTAGGTGGAGGTAACTGTAACTCCTTTGGGAGAAGATCATAGACAGATTCTGTAGGGAGGAAAAAAATTGAAAGAAAGTCAGTCAATATCTTAATTACATGTACATGAAATGAGTCGCTTTTCTCTTTTGAGATTTATATATTCACAAAAACAACTTGTATGTATTTGTTCTTTTAATATATAATCTTTTATTTTTTTTTTTTCAAGACAGGGTTTCTCTGTGTAGCCCTATCTGTCCTGGGCCCGCTTTGTAGACCAGGCTGGCATCAAACTCACAGAGATCCACCTGTCTTTGCCTCCAAGTGCTGGGATTACAGGCGCAAGCCACCGTGCCTGGAATATAATCTTTTTTTTTATTAATTTCTTCTCTTATATATTACATCTCGATTGCAGTCTCCCCTCCTTCCTTCTGCCTCCCCATCCCCTTTAACACTGCCATCCACTCCTCTGTTTCCCTGTAGAAAACTACAGGTCTCCCAGGGATATTATCCAAACACAGCATATCAAGTTGCAGAAAGATTAGGCATTTCCCCTCATGAGACAACCTAGTAGGAGGGCAAGGGTCCCAGAAGCAGGCAAATGTATCAGAAACAGACCCTCTCTCCCTCTGTTAGGAGTCCTACAAAGACACCAAGCTATAAAACTGAAACCTATATACAGAGAGCCTAGGTTAGAACCATGCAGGCTTCCTGACTGTTGGTCCAGTCTCAGTGAAACCCTTATCTGCTCAGATTTGCTGCTTTTATGAGTTTTCTTGTGGTGTCCTTGACCTCCCTGGCTCCTACAATCCGTCTTCCCCCTCTTCAGCAGGATACTCTAAACTCTGCCTAAGGTTTAACTTTGGGTCTCTGTATCTGTTTAGATCAGCTGCTGGATGAAGCCTCTCTGATGACAGTTTGGTTAGGCACCAATTTGGGCTTCTCTGAGTCTGCAAGGTCTCTCTAGCATATAATCTTATTAAAAACTGAAGAATGAATTTTTCATTGGTTCTACTATGATTTTGGTTGTACTTTTGCTTTTAGTCCTTATTTTTCAAGGTATTCTCTAGACAAAAAAAAAAAAAAAAAAAGAATTATTTTTAAAACTAGCTAAAATCACAATCCAAAACTTTATTGCCCTGCATAAAACTAAAGTCCAAGTGGATCAAAGATCTCAACATAAAACCAGATACACTAAATCAGTTAGAAGAAAAAGTGGGGAAGAGCCTAGAACTCATTGGCAGAGGAGACAACTTCCTGAACAGAACACCAACAGCACAGGTTCTAAGATCAACAATCAATAAGTGGGACCTCATGAAACTGAAAAGCTTCTGTAAAGCAAAGGACACTGTCATCAAACAAAATGACAGCCTACAGACTAAGAAAGGAACTTCACCAACCTATATCTGACAGAGGTCTAATATCCAGAATATATAAAGAACTAAAAAAGTTAAAAAGCAACAAATCAAGTAATCCAATTAAAAAATGGGACACAGAGCTAAACAAAGAATTCTCTGTAGAGGAATACAGAATGGCAGAGAAACAATTAAAGAAATGTTCAATGTCCTTAGTCATCAGGGAAATGCAAATTTCCCTGAGATTTCACCCATCAGAATGGCTAAGATCAAAAACTCAAGTGACAATGCATGCTGGAGAAGATGTGGAGAAAGGGGAACCCTCCTCCATCGCTGGCAGGAATGTAAACTTGTACAACCACTTTGGAAATCAATCTGGTGCTTTCTCAGACAATTAGGAATAGCGCTTCCTCAAGATCCAGCTATACCACTCATATCCAAAAGATGCTCAAGTATACAACAAGGACATTTGCTCAACCATGTTCATAGCAGCTTTATTTGTAATAGCCAGAATCTGGAAACAACCCAGGTGCCCTTCAATGGAGGAATGGATACAGAAAAATTGTGGTACATTTACACAACAGAATACTACTCAGCAATTAAAAACAAGGAAATCATGAAATTTGCAAGCAAAAGGTGGGATCTAGAAAAGATCATCCTGAATGAGGTTTCTCAGAAACAGAAAGACACACATGGTATATACTCACTTATAAGTGAATATTAGCCATATAATATAGGATAAACATACTAAAACGTACATCTAAAGAAGCTAAGCAAGGAGGACCCTGGGTAAGATGATCAATCCTCATTCAGAAAGACTCTACCCAGCAGTGTATCAAAACAGCCAAACTTTGGGCAGAGTGCGGGGAATCTTAGGAAATAAGGGGGGAGACAATAAGACCTGGAAAGGACAGGAGCTCCACAAGGAGAGCAACAGAACCAAAAAATCTGGGCACAGGGGTCTTTTCTGAGACTGATACTCTAACCAAGGTCCATTCATAGATATAACCTAGAACCCCTGCTCAGATGTGACCCATGGCAGCTCAGTATCCAAGTGGGTTCCTAGTAAGGGGAACAGGAACTGTCTCTAACATGAACTTAGTGGCTGGCTCTTTGATCACCTCCCCCTGAGAGGGAAGCAGCCTTGCCAGGCCACAGAAGAGGACAATGCAGCCAATCCTGATGAGACCTGATAAGCTAGGGTCAGATGGAAGGCGAGGAGGTCCTCCCCTGTCAGTAGACTTGGAGAGAGGGCATGGGAGAAGAGGAGGGAGGGAGGGTGGGTCTGGGAGGGAATGAGGAAGGGGGCTATAGCTGGGATGCAAAATTAATAAATTATAATTAATACAAAAAATAAAAATTTATTTTTAAAAAATGTTTATAAACACAAACACATAAATGTAAATGGAAAGGCAAGGTGAATCACACCTGCAGTCCTATCTTGAGCAGCCAACACAGGAGGACAACTAGTTTGAGGCCATCATGAGTTAGTTCCAGGATAGCCTGGGCCATATATGAAGATGCTATCTCAAAAAACAAAACAAAAACTACCCCTCAAAAAGTGTTTCTAAGAGAAAATGATCCCTCCAACATTAGAGAAGGAACTCAGGGCTCTGGAATGCTGGGCTAGTACTTTGCCCCTAGTCCACTGCTAAGACTTCTTTTACAGAAGTAAAAACACTTTAGGGGAATGTGTGGAATAAGGAAGGCTTCTTTACAGTATGATAAAGATGTTCTAAAATTAAAGTGATAGTTAAACATACTGACAACTATTGAATTATACTCTTTTAAATGGGTGAACTTTGTGTCACAATAACCTCTTAAGGTCTGTTGCTCAGAAAAGGAACCAGAGGCTAGTGTTGTGGCTCATACCTTTATACTCAACACAGAGGCAAAAGCAGGCAGGTCTCTATGAGTTGAGGCCAGCCTGGTCTAAGGATCAAGCTCCAGGCCAGACAAAGCTACACAATGAAACCCTGTCTCCAAAACAAAACAAAACAAAACAAAACAAAACAAAATAAACAAGAAAAGGAGACAGGCTTAAGTAATGCCAGGGTTACATTTAAGAAATCCCAGCAACTCTGGGAGCCTAAGGCAGGAGGAATGTTTATGCTTTAGGCCATCCTGAGTCATACAGTTAAGTGCCAGGGTAGCTTGGACTATAGAGTAAAATCTTGTCTCAAAAGAGTGGGAAGTACAAGTGAGAATTACATAGAATTAAGTAGGGCTTCTAAAAATGTTCCTGATGAACTTCATGAACAAACTGACTTCTATTTGTGAAAAGCAAATTATGAAGGTCAAGGAGCAAGTACTTTTGTTGTTGTTGTTTTATTTTTTGTCTCTCCTGGAGATCAGGAAAATGCTACATCCACAATTATGCTAAACTTAGTAATTTTTTTAAAGTTCCTGTGTACATGATGAAGAAATATCAACTTCATAAAATAGATAACTTTCTACCAACCACACTCAAGCACACAGGAGGAGATGGTCATTACATCAACAACTTGAATGCTTCTAATTTGCAAATAACAGGTTTAAGAGGGACATATGCATGTCATTAAAATTGACCACAGATGATGGAAGATTGAACGAGCTTGATTAATAAGGTAAAATTTTGTTTCTGCTTTTTGAGACTCCATTTCATTATAGCCCATGTTAGTTATTATTTAAAGAAATATGAGGCTGGGGTCAGCCGATATGCAAGAGGTTTATTAAGTGGGTATGGAGGGAGTGGGAGAACAGGACACGGTGGGGAGAGAGAAAGAAAGAGAAGGGGAGGCGCCCCAAGAGAAAGAGAGAGAGAGAGCATGAGAGAGGGAGAGCAAGAGTGTAAGAGAGTGACACGTGTCGGGGTTGGCCCTTTAAGGGGCAAGGTAACCACGCCTTCCAGGTGTGGCCACCTGACTGGTGACACATGATGACATCATAAATTGCTGGGTAACCCAGGAGCAGGTTGTGTTCCAAATACTAACAGCCCAAGCTAGCTTAGAACTTACTATGTAGCCCATGTTTTCCTGGAACTTTATTATGCAATCTCCTGGATCAGTCTCCTGAGCCATTACAACTGCCATAAGTGAATATAATAAGGTGATGTAACAGCTTAGTGATGTTACGTCACTACACACATGTACTCATTCCTCTACTCTCTTTATGTTCTTTTACTTTCCTAAGGAAAATTTTCCTTAGCTTTCCAACTGGGATGAATGTTTTCTTATATACTTTCCCTATTAATGTTGCTAATAATTTTCATTTAACCAACTCATCTATGGTTCATCATGAATTTTAGGCGACAAAAATCCTAATTAATATAAGTGTATTACTTAAATATCCACGAAGCAAAATCAGGGCAAATGCAGTATCGTAAGTAAATTTAACTAACAAATTATTGATATAATGGGGCATATGAAGGGACAGACTTCTCTCCAGAGTACAGGGAAAACATTAAGCATTGTTAAAACCCTGTTAGAAATCACTACTAAAGCCAAGCATGGTATCAGAGAAATAGAATAACTGTATTCAGGAGACAGAGACACTAGAATCTTTAAATTGGAGTCTAGCCTGATCTACACAGCAAGTTCTAGGTCAGCCACAGCTACAAGATACTACTGTGTTTAAACAAACAACAAAAATCAGTAAATAAGACAAATCATCACTATTAGTGTTAATAAAAAAAGAAATGCCCTTCCTCCCTCCCTCAGACTTGTTGGCAAACCTAA